ATCATTTGAACCATCAGATTTGAGAGCTTGAGCAATTTGATATTTCTCTTCATTAGAAATATAATCGAACCACAAATTATTTACTTGACCAGCATAACCTTGAACAATATTGTTTGTTGACTATATTGGAGAAATTCCTTCTTGAATATAGGCGTCATAACATGCACCCATTCTTTCAAGAATTTCAAAATTTTGATATTCGGTTAAACCATCTATATTCCAAATAGTTATACCTATTCCGAAAAATTTTGTAGGAATTTTGGCCTTTTATTCGAAAAGTAAATCGGAGGAGTATTTTTTGGACAGTAAAGAGGAATTTTTGAAAATTGAACTTTTTGCCCTAGAAATTTATTGATTTGAGGAATTTCATCATTAATAATTGAGATTCAATGTCATCAATAGTATTAATGTTATTTGAAGTAGAGGAGGATGATATTCTGATAACTAAGTAGCAAGTTCTTTTGGAACATTAATCTCAGTTCTTGAGAACATTTTTAGGTTTAGCCTCATGCCTGTTTATTAAAATTAACTTTATTGGCTTAATACCTTTTGAAAAGGATTATGTCTCAGATTCAAAATTTATTTCAATTCGGATAAGCTGAGAACAGACAGATTGAAAAACTACATTTGTGTAGTTGTTTTGATCTTGAATATTTTTGATATCGTTAACAACTTGAGATTCATCAAGTCGTTCTTCATATATCTTTTTGAAAGGAAAAGCAAGAATTTAAGTACTTCCATGTGAAACTACTATCTCTTGCAAAGGAGGATGAGAAGATTGAATATTCTCTCTAAGAATTTTCCAAATCTTCTGTTAAATATTTGTTGTTTTAATAGCTTTTTCTTTCTTTAAATTTGAAGAAACTTTTTCTTTCTTTGAAAAAGTAGGTTTTTACCACCTTTGGTTTTTTAGAGGACCTCATCCCAATCAGAGTACTGATTTTCTCGAGATTGGCTTCAATTTATCTTTGATTGACCATATATCCTAAGAACTTTCTGGAGGCGATACCAAATGCACATTTGAGGGGGTTGAGCCTCATTATGTATCTTATTAGGATTTGAAAGGCGTTGTTCAGATACGCCACATGGTCATCTGCCTTCAAGATTTTACAAGCATGTCACCTACATAGACCTCCATCGTCTTGTCGATGAGGTTCGCAAACATTTTGTTGACGAGCTTTTGGTAAGTAGCCCTGACGTTCTTCAACCCAAAAGGCATCATTTTGTAGCAATAAAGGCCTCTGTCCGTGATAAAGGAGATACTCTTCTCATCTGCTGGGAACATGGTAATTTGATTGTACCCTGAGTAGGCATCCATGAAACTTAAGAGCTCATGTTCGGCGGTAAAGTCCACTAGTTGATCAATCCTGGGAAGCGGGAAGCTATCTTTGGGGCATGCTTTGTTGAGATTAGTAAAGTCAATTCATATTCTCCACTCGCCATTGTGTTTCTTAACTAGTACGGGTTGGATATGCACTTCGGGTAGATGGCTTCCTGATGAAGCCATTCTTGATAAGGTTCCGCACTTCTTCCTTCAAGGCCTTATACTTCTCCGAGTTGAGGGCTTTTCATTTTTTTTTCTATGCAGGATAGCCTTAGATTGATTTTTAGGTGATGGCAGCTGAACTTGAGGTCTATGCCTACCATGTCTTCATATCTCCAAGCAAATCTCAACATTTTCTCCTTCGAGGGGAACCTCACTTGGGGCATCTATCATATCCATGTCGGTTATAACGACATTGCCCGATGCTCTGCCTTCCTAATGGAGCTCAAGTAACATTTTCTTGATCCCCTTTGGTCTCCTCTCACTGTTGCTACCCCATTTTCAGTAGGGAATTTCATGCATAGGTAGTGGATGGAGGTGGCGGCTCCCAATTCCTTTAGGGATGGTCTCCCCAGTACTCCGTGATAAGCCGACCAACTATCCAAAATAAGGAATTTCTTGAAGTTTAATGTGGTTTGGGATAATTCTCCCATTTTCACTACGAGTGTGATCTTCCCTCTCGGAGTAATGCTATCTTCGGTGGATCCGTATAAGAGAGTAGTGGTAGGAGTCAATTCGTGGTCCAAGATCATCTTATCAAAGGTAGATCTAAACAAAATGTTCAGGAGCTGTCGTTGTCTACTAGCATTCGTTTGAGTCCATTTCGGGCCACAACGGCCTTTACCACCAGTGTATCGCAATGGGCGTAGTGAACTCTCTCTATGTCCTCCAGAGTAAAGACGATAGATGGTGCTTGGTTTCTCCGGGAGCTATTTTCCACGATGTAACTCGTCAATGGAGGGTGTTTGGCCTCTTAGGCATAGTTTCTCTATGAATTTCGGGTTGTTCTACCTACGTGGGGGCTTCCAAATATGGCATCCACCTCATGGATTGGGGCCTTCTCTTGACCCTGGCGGCCTCTATGATGCATGTGCCCTTCCCTGGGCCTATCTGCATTTTGCTCTTTTCTTCCTAGGGGGAAACATCTTGCTGGTGGAAAGCAGCCTCTTTACGCCTAGGCTGCTCATCGTACCTAGGAGAGGGCCTATTCTCATGAGGTAATTCATTCCTCCTCTCATTTTGGGAACTTTTTCGTCGGACGTGTTGCTTCTATTCTCGATAATTTACGGTGTTGTGATTGTACGAATGGTGGTGTGTGCAACATTGGTGGGGGCTCAATTTCTGCTTGGGCCTAGATCCCGAGCCTTGCCCACGACCTCTTCCCCTTTGGGGGCCTATTGTGAAGTTCCAGCATTTTACATGTTAGTAGTAGGAGTGATATCCTCATATGCCAAGGTAAGAGCTATATTCAAAGTTGTCGTGATGATTGCTTGCCCTGAATTCTCATTATCGGCCTGGTTCATCTAGTAGTCCATCAAATGAGATGTTGGTTCCCTGGCACGCTGCCTTTGTTGAGGTGGGAGGCCTCTGTTGGCCTTGCTTTTGCCTTCAATCAACTCCTCGTTGATTATTTCCTCCCTCACCATCTCAAGCAGTTTGTCGTAAGTAGTAGGGTCTTAATTTTGCACATCCCTCCAAAATAGGGTGTTCATATTTAAGCCTCATCTCAGTGCTGACAATGCTTCCCGATCGGTGACTTGTATGTAATACGTCATTTCATCAGTAAAGCATGATAAGAAGCTTTTCAAAAAAATTCCATGATCCTGCCTCATGTCCTAGAGGCGTTTGATGGGGGCCACTCCCTTCTTGCTCATCATGAATCTCTTAAAAAAGATGGTCTTAAATTCTGGTCAACTGCTTATGTTCCCAGGCGGTAGCCCACTATACCAAATTTCAGCTGTTCTCCTAAGTGTCAAATGAAAGGCTCTGCATTTCACTGTTGGGTAGCTCCTCTCAGGCTCATGTGAGTCTTGTAAGCATTCAAATGCTTCTCTGGGTCACCTCTCACATCGTATTTTAGTATCTTTGGCATAACATAATGGCTTGAAACCTAGCCACCTCTTAATTCTCTCGAGATTGGCAAATTTTCATCGTCATCAACCAAGTCACAGGACCTCTTCTATTCATCTGAATCATTGTTCTCATCGGCTTCATATCTGGGTGGCGGATGAGAAAGACCAGCCTGGTTCCTAGCCTCTTCTTTTCTCTTTTGGCGCCTATTTCTAGGCAGGGCAGCGCGGGGGGCATTTTCATGCCTTTCTTTCGACTGTTGAGTCATTAGGGATAGGACTGTTGTCTCGTACGAGGCTCATAAGGTTGTTGTTGTTGCCTGCACCTCAGTTTTGCTGGGCTGAGTTTGTCAAACACACTGCTTGACCTCCTAGGTCTCTGTTCTGGCTCATATGCAGCAGTAAGTTGTCCTGCTGGTTACAAGGGACCTTAGTAGGTCGACCTGCTGCATAGTTGAAGGAAACATCAACTTTCACTTCCCTTTCCACGGGGCTGTCACCTCGGCTATACAATGGTAATGCAGCCCTTTGGCTTTGGACTTCATTCTCTTTTTGGTATTGCCATTAGAGCACATAGGGAGGTATAGGAAAACCTCCTTGGCCCTACATTTGGGCCATGAGGCATGTTTTGGCTAGCGATGTTTCTCATATTTGTAGCCATGGCAGCAATCTCCCTAGAGATCTGGGCGGCCACTCTCGTACCACCTCTCCTGTGATGGTGGTAGGGCCTGAGACGAGCTGGTGGGGCTGCTCCTGTGCTTTCTCTTACCCTCCTGGGGGCACATCTTCATCCGAGCTCATTTTTTTATGTTTGACTCCAAGTTTTTTCAAGTTATGGGGGCTTTCTCTTGTTCTTTTTCAAGAACAAATCTTTTTTCGAGTGGGATGCCCAAATATTCTTCTTTGCTAAGCTTTTTCCACACGGTTTGCTCATAGTTATAGTATGATTTTCCACAGACGGCTCCAATCTGTTGACCCCAAAATATGTTACCAACAGATACTGGACCCCCATTCGCGCACACGCAAGCTTAGTCCAACACGCTAAGACACTTGGACGGTCTGGAATGGACAGATTAAGGACGTAGGAGCGGCTTAAAGCCATGGGACGACGACGTTCGAAATTCGGCAAGAGATTTATATAACGATTGTACAATAATTACCAATTGCAATTTGTAGAATGTGTATGTAAACTTGTGTATATTGCAAGATAGTAAAATGTAGAGAGTGTTTAGTACTTGTTCTTGTATTGAATCTTGCATTAGCTTAACATGGGGTGCATGGGAGAGTATTTATAATAATACAGTTGAATTGTGGCCCTCGATTGAAAGTATACGTGGTCTCATCTTGTTAGTTTACATGTCAAATTCTAGGCATCACATTTGACTACTTAGCCCGCTATATATTTATTAATTGACAGAGTCATCACTATGCTTGACTAGATAAGACAAGACACTTGTACTCCATGATGGGTGTCCCATCAATCATTAGGGAGAGGATTCTTGTGTAAGATCGGATCTCTAGGGAAGAGTGATGCCAAAAGTGTTTTGGAGTTCGTCTTCGACAGTTGGACCTTGGTATGGGCCACCTCGGCCAGTGCACTTTGGCTTTCAAGCAGTTGAGCCACGTAAAGGGTGTTTCTTCTGGATATTGTGTGTTCTTTGTCGATCTAAGGGCCTCGGCTACCATGCCACATGGTTCGCATAGGGGTGGGCTATGGGCCCCAGTAAGTCGGCCAAGTTTGTCAACACGTAACACATATTTTGTTTTTATTGGTGTTCTTAGACTTTTAGCTCTTTAACCTTGGAAGATTCCGAATTTTCTTGATCTTCTTTAACCGATGAATTTTACAACTCTAGCCTATACATGAGTACATCATTCTAT